TTTTACTTTCTTCTCTTTCAAAAACCGTCACTTTCGTCTTACTTGCTTTCACTTTCATCCCCGTTTCTTTTAATAACTAGTTCAGTAAAGTAACCATCATATACAACTCGGCCGCCAACGATGCAAATATGACTTGATCATCGGTGTACAAAAGGAATTTGACGGTTAACTCACCCATTCTCAACCCACATTCTTCAACCTTCAAAGTTTGCAAACAACTGTCCATAAATAGGTTAAACAGCCACGGGGAAGCCACACAACCCTGTCTGACACCTTTTAGAATGGCAAACCAGTCGGAGTAGACCACGTTAATCCTGACACAAGCACTAGAGTTCCTATAAAGAGACCTTAATGCCTGTATCAAACCAGCGCTCAACCCAAATGAGCTCAGTGCTTGCCATAACACATTCCTGTCCACTCTGTCATAAGCCTTTTCCAATTCCATGAACGCACAAAAAACTATCTGATTTTTGACCAAAAACTTCTCCACAATCATGCGCATGGGAAAGACTTGATCCGTACACCCATCCTCTTTCTAAATCCAGCTTGCTTATCCCAAATTGACAATAAATAAATGTATCAATTAATACCTTAGGCCTTAAACGCAAGCTTTACACCTCATATAAAACACCTCCACCCACCTAGTCTTTATTCGTAACTACAGAACTGATTTTGTTCCGGGTTTCAAATGAGGAAATGCCTACTCATACTCGCTTCGCGGGGGCGAGAACGGATTTTGTCGGACTCGCACTTACTAAAACCCCATGGTGTTCCACCTACGCCGCACATAGGCAGGGCCACGGAAACGCTTTCAAACACATCCGCGGCCCCACCAGCGCTAGCCGCCCAATAGCAGCCCCTCCTTAGTTGAGGACTACTCCTCCCCCTTTCCTTCTCAGATAAGGCACACCAGGAGCACGAAGCACACTGCTCTTCGCGGCCTCCAACTCCACCTGCACAACAGGTGCCCCCAGCACCAAGTGGTGTAGTCCTGCCAAAGTCGCGAAGGATAGTCGAGTGGCGCATCGCTGCAGCGATATAGGGAGAGGACTCTAACTCACATCCAAGGGCTCGACAAGTCCACTCATAGTGGCAACCTTGGGCCAGCCCTTTACTTCGGGCCAGCCATGTAAGTCGCCCTTCGTTTACCATGGTTTACTAAGCCACGGCCACTCACCCCCCTCCTGCCACGACAAGGCGGGAACCCGTTTAGGGAGGAGCTATTTCTCACCTTAACTCACGCAAGCTCACTAAGGACATTAATAACTATGCAGTCCCATTAGTGACATAAATTTATTCCCTTGATATAGAAAATTGGTCATATTTAAACAGATTTAACAAATTTACGTCTTGTAAACACAAAGTCAAAAATACAAAAAAAAGGTCGCCTAGTGAGGCGACCTTTCTACACTTGGCCATGGCCCTTGAGTCTAGAGGAAAATAAGGAGAGAAGAAATAAAAAAAAATATTCGTAATAATAATCTAATTCTTTTAGGCTGGCCACATACATACGGAATTCCGTTTCGTGATTCTGTTTTGGAATCCCGAATCGGGATTCCGTGAATACACCACACACATACGTTTATTTCCGTTCGAAATAACGAGGCTCAGTTGAGAGACGTTAGCCATTGAATCTAGACATTCTTCCAGCGAAGTAAAAAGATCTAGCTATCCAGAGATATTTTTTTAATATAGATGTCTGTAAACCCTTTCGACAAATTATTAAACAAAATAAGATGAAAGGTTACGAAAAGTTATACACATATAAGGTTAAATGTAAAAACGTACATAAACACATCTGCTCGCTTCGGTCGTGCGACGAACACTGAGCGCATTCCGTACGGAATTTACGAATATGTGTTGCAACTCATACAAAATCTATGGAAGACTTGCGTTTGGAGCGGTTTTTTGCCGTTCGGGATTCCGAACGCACAGGCGGTCATACGGAATCTGGATTCGGAGAAAATTCCGTACGGAAAATTACCGTTCGTGTGTGGTCCTTGATTTTATATGAACTTGCTGCATTCGGAATCCCGAATTGGAATATCGAAATGGAATCCCGAAATGGAATTCCGTATGTATGTGGCCGGCCTTATAGTGGTACTAGTACTAGTAAAATATAGTGGGTATACTGCATTTTTTCAAAGTAGTGCGTTTCTCATGTCTAATAAAACACTCGTCTGTGAAGTGTTGAGATAATTTTGTTTCGGGCGCTAATTCACAATTTTTGTGCTTTTTAGACATAACTTTAGTGTTCAGTATTGGAATATTAATTAATAAACATTTGATACTTAATTATCTGTTGTCGGCGACATTGATTGTGAACAAATATTAGTAGAGAAGAACATCGATATAGACAAGGAACTCGACAACCCTATTGAAGTTTATTGTTTATCAAAACTCTGTAATATAAAGCCAAACATGTTGGTAATTACGATATTAAGATTAGTAACAAATTTTGAAGTACCTATATCATCAAATAGTTTTGATTTGTTTAATATTAGCTGTAAATTAACTTACTTGTGGAATGTCATCCCACATTCCTTTTGGTAACGAGTTTTATATATTACGCACACTCTCACTATTACTAAAAATAATTCTTATTATGTAACTAAAATCAAACATAATCAAAACACATAAAATACTTTCATTTTTATTTTAAAAGTTCGAAATACATACATACGATTTAAATAAAACAACAGACTTTCTCATATTATTTCAATTTTAGTTCCCTTTACACATAATGATCGCGCTTCAAATCGGCAGAAGCATTTTGTATGGTAGAGCCAGTCCAACGTACTTGTATATATGGAGGTCAGTGACTGTTGCGCGCCACCATTAATGCCTGGTACATGGCGATACTAGTTACCACTAGCGCCTTCTAGTATCGAGAAGCAGAACTAGGAGAGTCTAGATCCTTGTAGAAATTTCCATGGAAGAACTTTGTAGAACTATTGACACCTAGTCAATCAGGACCGATATGTACTCGAACATTCTACATGTTTCTACAGTAGAAGGTTCTGGAACTATCTGAGGACTTATATAACCCTATATAAACGTATAGACCGCGACCGGGGTCAGTATTGAGTTGGCGATACAAGCGAATACTTCGAAGCGATAAAACTGCGAACTAAAGTGATTAGTAGCACAATGGTGTTTTGTTATTAGTGTGGTTTTAAGTTGTAATTAGTCTTCTATAATAAAAGTGTCAATTTTGGTAATTCACTCGGCAGTTTTTAATTGTCTCGAACCCCAAGCTCGTAACAATTGGTGGCAGAAGTGGGATCAAACTATGCCGATTTTACCTAAGGACGATACGGAGGGTATACGTACCCGAAGTCAACACCAGCAGCAGCTCCTGCATCTGCAGCATCTGACACCATGAATGAAATGGTCAAGGCGAAAAGTTGTTAGTCAAGTACGCCGATGTTTTCTCGTCAAACGATGCTGACATAGGAAAGACTGGCTTAGTACAACACAAAATAAACACAGGAGAAGAATTGCTTATCCGTCAGCGCCCAAGAAGACTGCCGGTAGCACGTGAAAAGGAAGTGGAAACCATAATTAAGGCAATGGTGAAGGATGGTGTTATTGAACCTTCATCTATTCCATAGTGTTCACCTGTGGTGTTGGTAAAGAAGAAATAGTAATAGTAATAATAATTTATTTCAAGAAACTGTACAATTAATTCAAATAATGTCTTAATTTAAAATAGTCTACAATAACAGTCACCTGAACTAAGATAAACCTGTACCTCAGGTGTATGTGCTAATAGATAGCTTTACAAATATTTTCTGTTTTTTTATATAAAATGAAAACTTACCAATTAATTACGGTTAATTCGGTAAAATATCTTATCATTAATTTACTTAAGATTTTAATTAGCTTAAAACAATCGGCAATTTTTTCGTATCATCGTATTATAAACTTTGTAACCATGTACGAATTACATTTTACTATCTGCCATTTTTAATGGATACATGTACAAAATTGCATTGACTTGATTATACAGAAAAGGGCCAAGAAATGTAAAAAATCTATGCATGAACGAATGCCTTATTCTAGTGGCAGTTTCGATGACTTTATCTTTGCGTCTTTTATCAGTGTTCTCTCTTCTGTAGGGCAATTTTAAGTACTATTTTAGTAACATACTCATAACGAATAACTGGCGCACTGAGAGGACGTTATTATATAGATTTATATAAGAGATGGGATGGGAATAGGATAGGGCGAAATGTTGCAACTTTTAATACAGCTCTTTTAGCGCGTTCCAGTGGCAGAAAGATGCAGCATGCGGTTTTGTGTTAACTACCTCCGTCTGAACGACGTTCCGAAGAAGGAAAACTATCTCTTGCCAAGAATTTATGACACGCTAGACATGCTTACAGTAGTAAAATGGTTTAGCACACTTGATCTGATAAGTGGCTATTGGCAGGTTGAAATTAACCCTAAAGAGAAAACTGCATTCTCGACAGGAAAGGGTCTGTGGGAATTTAAAGTTATGCCGTTTGGATTATGCAATGCTCCAGCAACGTTAGATTGATAGAGCTTATACTTACTGGACTAATTGGCGATGCCTGTCTGTTCTACTTGGATGACATCATTATTGTTGGCCGTACGTTTGAGGAACACCTTCAAAATCTGGAGCGCATGCTCATGAATGCAACGCAGATGTATTGTCAAGAAGACCTTGTCCTGAAAATTGCAAGCATTGTACTAGAAAAGAAGGTAAGGAAGTGGTATCTGTGAGGATACTCAGGATAGACCAGCTCAGCAATGAGTGGAAGGACAGTCAACAACATGCACAGCAGGAAGATTCGGACACCAAACCGATTCTGAAATGGATGAAGGCTAGTGCTCCTAAACCCAAGTGAAACGACGTCTCAGCAATGAGTTCAACCACGAAAAACTATTGAGCCAAATGGGACAGCTTGCTGATTCAGGATGGAGTCCTGTGCCGTAAATGAGAAAATGGTTGGAGAGACAGCTGTTATTTGCAAATGGTTGTCCCTAAAGCTAAAGTACCGGATGTTCTACAGCTGTACCATAATGATTGTTCAGGAGGAGGAAGAGGAGTTAAACGAACTCTACTGAAGATCCGAGAACGGTTTTACTGGGTCCACTATCGTGACAATGTCGAGGACTGGTGTCGCAAATGTACAAGTTGTGTGGCTGTAAATGGACCTCAGGCTCGTAGTAGAGGTGCATTGAAACTGTACAATGTTGGTGCACCATGGGAGAGGACAGCCCTTGACGTTGCGGGGAAGTTTCCGGAAAGTGAAAGTGGTAACAAGTATTTCGTGGTTGTGACAGATTACTTCACTAAGTGGCCAAGCACATACAACCGTTTTGTTGTCATATCGAAGCGCTGTTCACGAAAGTACATCAGTGACACCAGCTTTTGCAAACTTTTGAACAGAATTACGGCTGCTTTCAGACCTGATCACCGGAATACCACCTGATGCTCCACGCAGTATAACCGATTATGCAAATGACTTGCGGAACAAAATGAATGATATTTATGATATATACGAGAAATGTGGGAAAGCAGACGAATTTTCAGATCCAGATTACAGTGCCAAAACCACCAAGAACAAATAAAAATGGACGCTCTTGCAGAAAAACATTCAAAGGGGAGCTTTAAGGGCTTCTGGAAAAATACTAATAAAATTAGTGTACGACCTGGCCTTCCTGTAAGCGTTGATGGCGTAAACGACTCCAAGGACATTGCAAATGTCTTTAGGGATATTTTTTCTATTAAATCGCCACTGGGCCCGGTTGAGGAGGTGCTTAATAGTAACATGAGTAGTCAAGTGGTAACGACCGCGTTTCTTGCGAAAGATATTTCAAAAGCCATAAAATGTATATTAAGAGGGAAGTCACCGGGACATGACGGTCTTAGTATTGAGCACCTGCAGTACGCCGGGCCACATGTCACGAGGGTATTGGCTATGTTCAATTCGCTGTGCGTGAGCCATTCTTAATTGCCAGCCGATTTTATGAAGACAGTTGTAGTACCTGTAGTGAAAAACAAAACTGGTGATCTTACCGACAAAAGTAACTACAGGCCTATCTCCGTTGCAACTGTCATAGCAAAGATTTTGACGGCTTGCTTAATGCACAGTTAAACAAACACGTAAAGCTGAATGATAACCAGTTCGGGTTTCGACCACAGCTGTCGACAGAATGCAATATTGTGTTTTAAGACCGCAAGACACCCGTATGCGCCTGTTTCCTGGACTTGTCTAGGGCTTTTGATTTATTTCGATACGACCGTTTATGGGATAAACTTAAAAGTATCAACTTACCCGAGGAACTCATCAGCGTGTTCCAGTACTGGTATCCACACCAGTCTAACATCGCGCGTTGGGCGGGTGCAGTATCGGATCCGTATCAGCTCGAATGTGGGGTCAGGCAAGGCGGACTAACATCTCCGACACTTTTCAATTTATATATGAACGATTTGATCGACGCTCTCAGCAGCCAGTGCGTTGCTGCCATATTGACAGCGTCTGTGTTAACAATCTGAGTTACGCTGACGTCATGGTTTTGCTGAGTGCGTCGATCTGTGACCTACGCATTTGTGAGGAGTATGCGAGTGGACATGGTCTAAAGTACAATGTAAAGAAAAGTCAATGCATGGTCTTTAAGGCAGGTACCAAGTGTCCCCAGGATTTACCACCAGTATTATTGAATAGTGTGCCCCTAGAGGTTGTCAATCAATTTAAGTACCTGGGACATCTAATCACTAATGACCTCAAGGACAATGCGGACATTGAGCGGGAGCGGAGAGCGTTGTCCATTAGAGCTAACATCATAGCACGCAGATTTACGCGATGCTCACAGGAGGTAAAAATTACATTATTTAGAGCTTATTGTACATCACTCTATACATCCAGCCTGTGGGCAGACTTTAATAAGCGAAGTTACAATGATCTCCGCATCCTGTACAATAACGCTTTTAGGGTGATCTTGGGGCTGGCCCGCTTCTGCAGTGCCTCTGGTATGTTTGCGTAGGCGCGCACTGCCTGCTTTCATGCGACCATGCGTAAGCGGTGTGCGTCACTGGTGCGCAGAGTGCGGGCCAGCTCCAATATTATCCTGAAAGTGATAGGACTGTCCTCTCTTCCGGCATTGCTGCGACAGACATATCCAAGTAATTGTGGGAGCGAGAAGGTATTATTAATAATTATGTGTAATTTGTATTTATTGTATTCTGGTTCTAATGTATTTTATTTGTATTTAAATGTATTTTAATTGTATTTTAATGTATTTAATGACATATTATTATTTTTATTATTAATTAATCAAAGTTTTTCAATGATATGGATCTTATGTTATCTGAAATAAATTAATTTGAATTTGAATTGTGAGCACTTCAGACAATAGGGCCAGCAAATGTCTGAAAAGAAGAAAACCCGGTATGACCGCAAAATGAACAACAAAAGTTTCGACTAAGGTTCACCAGTGTGGTTGCACAATCCAGTTCGCAGCAAAGGGAAATCTCATGAGCTTCAAGCTAAATGGGACGAACCGTACCGAATTGTGACATGGATCAATAACGTAACCTACCGGATACAAATAGGTGCAAGAGATACTCCTAAGATCGTCCATGTGGATCGACTGACGCGTTATTATGGAGCCGATAATGCTCGGGTCGAGCATGTCTTAGGAGGGGGCAGTGTTGCACGCCACCATTGATGCCTGGTACATGGCGACACTAGTTACCACTAGCGCCTTCTAGTATCGAGTAGCAGAACTAGGAGATTCAAGATCCTTCTAGAAATTTCCATGGAAGAATTTTCTTGAACGAGAACCTAGTCAATCGGGACCGGTATGTACTCAAACATTCTAGATGTTTCTACAGTACAAGGTTCTGGAATTATCTGAGGGCCTATATAAGGCTGGTATAGACCGTGACCGGTATCAGTGTTGAGTTGGAGATACAAGTGAATACTTCGAAGTGATACAACTGCGAATTAAAGTGATCAGTAGTACAATTGTGTTTTGTTATTAGTGTGGTTTTAAGTTGCAATGAATGTTCTGTAATTAAAGTGTCAATTTTTGTAATTCACTCGGCAGTTTTTAGTTGTTTCGAACAACAAGCTCTTAACAATACTCTTCGCCATATTTTATTCTTTTGTTATCAAACCGTAAGAGTCGCCTTTAAGTAGCAAGTTTTTATTATGTTTTATCTATATTTTTAACGATACTTATGGAAAGGACGTTGGACGGTTCTAATGACTCTAGGTGACAGAAACCTAACCAACGCCACTGATTGGGCAGCCAGTTTCTCATTTCTCGCCAGGGAATCTCATTACTCAGTAGGATACACAATATATTAAATATAACAAGCCAAATTTAATTAAATAGATGCAAGTATACGTGGAAGGGCCATGCTGCAGACATATTATCGTTGTAGCACGAATGGTTCAACTCGACCGGAAAGGGACCACGCTCTCACAGGATGTTAGTGTGAAATAGCAGGCTTATGCTGCTGCGTGTCGTACGGTGAGTGTAAAAAACCAGAGACTATATTAACTGGAAACAAGGCATTCAATCTCGATTCTCAGGGGTATAACGCGTCTGCATTTTGATTCCTATCGAGAATAGATGTAGATGTATATGGGCCACAGCATCCACTTACCATCAGGTGGATTGTGTGCTCGTTTGTCATCCTTATTATATTAAAGTAACATCATAAGCTTATAACTGGACAGATTAGTTATATAAAGTTAAATTATAATAGCCTAGTACACGTACTCGTAATGTAATTTACTACCGACGATTAATTGTATCAGGAAGCAAGAAAACATCGTTACGTTGTTATGTCGCAACTACTCCGCTTGTTTATGTCATTATTCCTAAATAAATGCCTACGCTAAATAGAAGAATTATCCGGTTATAATTTCCGTACCTAAATAATATTTTTTATAATATACAGGCTATTGCCAAACCGCTTGTCAAGTGTAAATATGGCAGATATACCCCTACATATAAAGCCGTCTATGGGAAAGTCTTTTATCCAGAAGTAAACATTTAAAAGATCGTTATGAATGAATGAATGAATGAATGAATGAATAAGTAAGAGTAATAAGTGTAAGTGAATACTGTAGCCCAAAACTATCTGCGTCTATAATCGTTAAGAATTAAAATGCAGATGCGTAGATCCTGAGAACTAAGATAAAATGCCTGGTTACGGTTAAAGGTTTCCGGTTTTCTTCTCTCACTATACAAAACGCAGCGTTATTCACGAAGCAGAACATTATGCTGCTATTTTACGCTAGTGTCCTTTTTTTAATAGAATAAGGGTGACAAATGAGCACACAGTCCACCTGATGCTAAGATGATGCTGTGACCCATAGATATCTACATTTATCCTCGCTCAAGAATCACAATGTAGATCCGTTATCACCCGTGAGGACTAAGATGGAATGCCTCGTTACCAGTAAAAAGCATCTCTGGTTCTCTACACTCACCATACGAAACACTGCAGTATTAAGATGCTATTTTACGCTAGTACTCTGTGAGAGTGTGGTCCTTCACCGGTCGAACCGACCCATTCGTGCTACAACCATAATATAGCTGCAACGTGACTCCTGTGCAAGCGTGGTCTTTACCCAGGCAAGGCAACACATTTCAGCAGTTACATGACAACATAATTATACTACAAACTACAACAATTTTTTCTGTTATCAATTCACTCAAAGCTCTGTCGCTGCACCTAAGGGTTGTCATCTATTGTAATTTTAGCGGCACCTTATTGCCCAAAAGAAGGGTGTTCTTTATCAATGTATCACTCTGTAGTTGTCGGGTCGCCTTTAAATCTAATATCATAAAAATGATAACACAAGCATAATTATTATTTTTATTGCATAACTCGTCACGTTTGATTGCAAAACTCACCGAGGACTAAGGCGGAATGCTTTTCTACTACGAGTATATACGAGTATTAAACGCTCCTCGAAACCGCCCGCAAAGTCCGCCGGTTTCTTTCCCTTTCCCCCTAACCCTCTGCCGTTTGGTCAACCCTACCGAGGGCTTCCATCTCGTTGGGTTTTTATTTATTTATGTGTTGTTTATTTATACACTTTTACTATATTTAATGTATACTTATTATTTTCTTTTATATAAGTATTTATTCAGCTCAACCAGATGAAAAACATACATTCATACACCACAATAAAAAAATTAAAAAAAATTAAATAAAATGTTTGGCCACTGAGTACCGGCCCTTCATGGGTCCATGTGTGACCAAATCATAGCAACCTGCATAATAAAGAGACCAATAAGTGAGCGCATTTATATCTGTTTGCTTTTATCCTGATTCTCTAAATAGGTTTGAAATAGTTTTATTTTAAAAAGAGAACTCAAAGTTACTTTGCCAATATCCACATAAAATAAAATCATATGTCTTACCTAAATTGACGAGTACCTCTCGCCCTCCCTCAATTGCGTGCAC